GATTATTGCTACTTTGAAAATATTTTCTTAGACATATTTTTCAAAAAACATAGAACAGTAAATAAAGAAGTAAAGCAAACAATTATCTCTTCTAGTTACAACCTATGTACTCGATTGCTGCTTGACGCAAGTTGCTAAGCCTTAAAAAATTTTGCACTTGGAGGATACGAAACAAAATATTTTTTTAGATTTTATGCATACATTTGAATAACTAAAAAATCAGAAATCACTACATTAATACCACAAAAATGTATAAAGCTTAGTAACCAAGATGTATTTTGGTCTAAAAAAATATGAAATTTCGAGCACACTAAAGACACACCCTACCTCGTTGAAATATTGGTTTGAAAGAAAGAAATGGCACCAAGTCCATTAAAATGGCTGAGAAAACAACTAAAGTGACATTCTGAGCTTCCGATTGGTTCATGTCATATATAGATGTAAGTGTATATAAAGCAGCATTTCCAAAAATAGAAAGAGGTGGTGGGGTGCCACTGTGTTTGATTTATTACATGAGCAATATCTTAGCAAACTGAAAAGATAAGAGGCTCTTATTTTATATTCTAGCTTGTCAATATTGGTAATTTGAGTTCCTAATTCGTACAAAACTATAAACTTAATATTTTGACATCACAAACATCTAATTTGAACCAGTGCTGCATTCAACATACTAGTGACACACAAAAATCGATGTTTATCTGTGTTTTTTTTTATTTATTTATTTGCTTTTAAATTAAGAAATTGAGTACTATATAGTACTAAAATTTGAATTATAATCTATAGTTTGATACCAAACTTACTGACATAAATTCATGAAATAATAGTTCAATACAATTTTGAATGCGAGTCAACAAACGAGATGACATGGCCTTTCACCCATGGCCTGTCTGGAAAGGGTTAAAAGGTATGAATGTATTCTGGCTTGTAACTGTTTATGACTGATAAATGAAACAACATGTAAGCAGTTCTTTTAACTGTTGAAATAAGGGTGAACTAAATAAATACTGTCCAATAACTGCTATTTGTTTTTCTTTTTTGTTTTTAATTACCAGCACAGAATTACTAAAGGTTTTAAGTATCTTCATTAACAGTAAAAAAAAAAATTCAATAACATTCCACTCAAACATTTATAAGGAATGTGTACTTTACATTATAAACTCAAAAGTTACAACCTATTCTACTTTTCTGCATGTTTATTTTTTTAATAGGCCTTTCACTGGAAATTGTATAGTGTAAAAAAATTAAAACTTAACTCTTTTCGTTAATTGTTATTGGTAAAAAGTTTTAAAGGCAAGCTGATTTTATTTCATTACATTATGCATATTTGACTGCCGTAACCTGCTTAATATCCAAACAGTAGAAATGAATTATGTAGAGGTAAAAATAGCAATATGACACAGCTAGCAAGCAAGGAAAACACCGAATAATAACAATTTAACATTGCCAATAAGAAATAGATGCTAGTTTACTGGAAGAGGGAATAACTAATTATGGTCACATTTATCCAAGATCAACTTCACACTCACTTATTGCATTACAAAAATCCTTAAACATGGCTGAGGTGCATCCATATGACATTTATGGCCATTCAGTCAAAATATGAAATTGATCAACAGAAAGAAAAAATTAAATTAAAAATGATCTATCATTACTTTTCTCTATCAATCTTTTTTTTTTTGTCTTCTGACATTCACTTGGTCAGCCAGCAAGAAAATAAATTACATGACAGCAAATACTCAGCAACCTGTTATTCTTTAATTTAACTGACAGCATAGTAACTCCCCCCCCAAAAAAAAACAACACAAAAACTTGGAATATTACTAAATGTTTCCAAATTTTAAGATATTGTCCCATATATTGCACAATTATAAATTTTCTGGTTAAAATCAAAACCAAAAATAAATCTGTTTTTTTTTGTCTTATATTTGATTACTTGAAAGCTTGATTTCCCACTTTCCAATATATTTTTTACAGCCATATAACATTATAGAAACTTTACACAAATTACTGACACATTTAATGTAAAATACATTATAATGTATTTGAATACTTATATTACATAAAAAATAGAAGAATGGTTGAAACAGGATAACAGATTTGGGGAAATGGTTCTACAGAAAAGAAAAAGGTGGCTTCAACTAGTGGTAAGATATACAACCTTACGTAGAACAAGTTTTAGAATTTATTCAATTTTATAAAGTTTTTAATCTTGAGAATATTTACCACAATATTATAAAAAAATAATGCATAAGAAAATCTTCCAGTAAAAACAACTGCTCATGAAGATTTCTTTGTCTATACAAAGCTATTAAATTTGCAAATATCATATTAGATCATTACTAGTTTCACACTTATCTATATTCTTAAATTCACAACTGATTACTCTGTAAAAGCATACAAAATATCCTGTCTTATTATTGTTATAAAAACAAGCCTTTGTAAAAAAAATCACTTTCAAATGTAAATTTTACAATAACATAAAGAACAAAATTTGGGATATAATGTAAGAATTATACTACTAATATAATTTTATTGGCTCTTATAGATAAAATTAATTTCAGGAATTCTGCGCTGCTATTATATTTTGAATCACCCCCCCCCAAACAATTAATTTTTTGCCTCTGAAATAATTTTTGTAATAACCACATTTCTGCAGATAACAAAATAAAGAATTCTGAGCAGTGAGATGAGTACTGTTTATGATTAAGTTATCCAAATTTACAACCAAACTACTGCCTGGACAAAATTCCTTGTTCATAAGTTTAACATCTTGGATTAATATTTAGTTTAATAGAATTAACTTACCTGTCATAATTAGGATATCCCCCAGATTCTTCCCAACGTCCTCTTTTTGAGGGAGGTCCACCTCTACCTAATGGTGGCCCTCCCCAAGGTCTCCTTCCTAACATTCCATCCCCACGTGGAGCTACACAGCAAGGTAAACAATATTAAAATTCGGCAAAGTACCAGACAAGACATTATTTTTGATTAAAACATATCCCAGATTAACATAAACATATCTACAAAAAGGAAAAAATATAATTACACAAAGTTAATTGTAAATTTTGTTTTACCCATATATATATATAAATAATGTAACAAAATCAATATGTATATCTTCCCCTATCCAACAAATTTTTGTATATCTACATTTGTTTTAAAGGACTATTTACTTAGTAGTATATTTTAATTACCTGAAATGTGTCATAAAATACCCACGTACAACATTTTATTATAGCAATTCTTTATGGACAATTTTGTTTCTCAATTGTTTCTGGTTCTATGGGATCTTCTAAAACAAACACTGTTAAATAACTTAATCAGTGATTTCTGGGCTTTGGTTCTTTCAGCACAGGCTTGGTCCCTGGGACTGACTTTGTAACCATTTTGTGCTTGTTATAGTTTTCATGCTATAACTTTTAAATTAGTAAGCGAGTGTTAATGAAATTTGGCAGATTATCAGCAAACATTAGAATGCTTTCATATGCAAAATATCAAATTACTTTAATGAGTCTTAAGGTTTGTAAAGCAATGTTTTTCTCATGCCTTTTTTTTTCTTTTCACATGTTGCCTATCTATCACGCAAAGTAATTTCCATTTTAAGATTAAAAATACTTTTATG